ATAATGTCACATGTTCAAATCTTATGGAGAGGTTATGTGTTGCTTGATTGTAACTGTTCAATGTGATTATTTTTATATTTGTAATTAATTTTCTATTAATTGAAAAGAAAAAAAAAAAACCTATGCCATAAGTCGCAACAAAAATAAAGTTAGTGGATTAGGATTAATTATTGTACTGACTGAGTACGTAAACCACCTCGTTCCTCTTTGATTTACGTTGGGTTTGCCTTTGTTAAAGTGTTGAGTTTAACTTGGAGTCTTGTTAACAGTATGGGTTTGTTGCATTTGGAAGCTTTTCTCAAAATCCCTGTTCTTATTTATTCCTGTGTCAAATTTCACATGCATCGGAAGGCGCGGGGTGAATCTGGGGTGTCCTAGGTCGAGCTGGAATGATTTTTTGGCTGGGAAGCTGAACCACACGTGTGGGGGCTTGAGCCGCACGTGCGGGAGGTGAGGCCGCATGTGCGGAGAAGGAGGGGGTTGCCATGGTGTATTCTGCTTTATATGCAGGTGCGGAAGGAGGTGCGGTGAAGAAGTGCCGCACGTGCAGGGGTGAGAGCTGCACGTGCGGATGAGGTTGCTGCACGTGCGAGAATGGGTGCCGCACGTGCGGGAGTCTGCTGAGTCCAAAAATCTGTCTTTTTCTCTCTTCTTGGGCTGAGTGTATCTCACTTTTTACACATCTCTCTCTCTACAAATATCTTTTCCTCTCCCTTCTCTTTAAAAACCTCCATCAAACACCATAAACTCTTGATATCTTCCAATCCATTGGAGTTTTGATCCAACATCCTTCACAAATTTTGGAGAGCTAAGCGAGGGCTTCATGGTGTACGATGGAGATCGCGTTTCGACACCGTTGGATTTGGGGTTTTATCTCTTTTTCCTTCAAGAAACTTGAGGTAGAGATTTCTTAAAGTAATATATATATTTTTACAAGATTGTGGTGATTTTGGAATTTCCTTGATTGTATTGAAAATTTGGTTTTTGGCAAAAGAATGATAGGGGTTTTTAAAAGTGAGTTTAACCCTTGCCTCTTTCTAAACAATTTTTTGAGAGTTTAAACTACATTGTGTGAGGGAAGATGTTTCGAGTGAGATTCTTTCAAAAGATGAGGGGGTGTCTATTTTTGGTGAAAAACCTAGAAATTTGAGATTTTTGAAAGGAGTTGAGAATCTATGGATTTTTGTTACTCACTAATATGCCACAATGAATGAATGATTGTAAATTTTTTTATTGTTATATATATAAATGACGAATTTCATGGAATATGAGAATTGCTGATTTTGGAAATTGTTCAAATTGTTGATATAGTCTTGAAATGACTAAATTGTTGAGAATAAACGAATTGTGAAAATGTTGCTACTCATTGATGGATTTAAATGAATATGTGACGATCTTGTGAAATGGCATTGGAAAGAGAAATGGGAATTGTGACCACAATGGAAACATTGTGTGGAAGAATTAAAAAAATGAAAGAACATTACATGGCATTGATAATTGTTGCATTGACATATCCATTCATTTGGTTGTTACAAACTTTGAATTGAGATTTGGAAACTTTTGCATTGAGAAAAGAAGGTTTGTGAAATAAGATTTCATTGAATTACTCGGGGTAAATACGTTGGTAAGTCCGGATAGGGGGTATAGATGAAATTGATTAAGTTGGCCTGAGCGTCCAGGGTGAAAGACCGAAAACACGCGCGGATGAGGTACCGCGTGCCTTCCGGTTAGCTATCGGTAAAGTGGGGTTTTGGTAATGCTAGTTATGCCTACTTGCAAACACTAACTTAAGGATTACCTGAGTCGTATTTACTGCCCCGTGAACTTGATGTAAAATTATTGAATTGTTGAAATTTCAATATCTCCTTATGCATGAAGGTTTCAAAAGATAAAGAGGCGACTTTTTTTTAAAGACATAGCATGGCATGTGCATTTCATTTCATGAGATTTGTTCAAAATGTATATACTTTGTTAAGAATTTTCTATTGGGCTTTATACTCACCCTATGAGATTTTGGTACAGAAAAAGATGTAGTGATTCCGCCAAACTAAGTGCGTAATTATATGTGTTGAGGGCATAAGGCTCTTGTTTTGTTGTGATTGTAATTTTTGCAAGCCAAGGCCTATACTTGTATGGGTTCGAGCAACCATTTTGTGTAACCAGGCTTAAGTCTTGAATTTTGTAGCCCTTGAGGGCGTTTATTTATTTTGACTTGATGTTTTACATGCTATAGATTCATGTACCGAAGTCATTGAATGTATATCCGTATGTGGAACTATTTTGTAAACACCTTATGATCATGTATTCAAATGTTGGAGAATTACTTCTATTATCATAAAGAGCGGTGGTTGATGTACTTCAATTGTCTATTTTATTTTATTTTTGGGCGTTACAACTTGGTATCAGAGCTACCGGGTTTGAATACTTAGGGCTCATGGGAAGTGGTTGTTTTGCCACGATGGGTTCATTTCGTATGATTAGGAGATGTTGTATATTTTTTGATTGTGATAACATGTTTATATGACTAGATGGGTATAAGGTTGGACTTTTGGAATGTGGTTTGTGCCTATTAAATTCCTTGAGGTCTTATTAGAAGGGTACTTGATCAATATTCGTTCTACTAAGAATTCTTGGGATTTCGTGGGACAAACTTCATCGTAAAGGAATAACCCATATGTGTTTACATGACTAAGTGCTTATGTGGAATGAGACTAAATTGTTTATATGGTAGAGGAATATATAAAATTGTTGTGGTCAAACGTGTAAGGCAAGTTGTGAGCACATTTGAGTTTATGTGCTGAATTGTTTACTTTATCTCTTAATTGGGATGTCAATAAAGGGTCAAGGTCGTGGTGGCAGAGGCGGGAGGCGCGGTAGACCTCACCGAGGTGTACATGAAGTACTGGTCCATGAGGTTCCCGTGCAACAGGAAAGGTTCGACCAAGCTAATGTGGCCGAGCAAGTGGGGCAAGCGGGGCTTCCGGGGCAAACGGGTCAAGCTGCAATAGGAGTCTTAGCCCGAGATATGGCAGGGGCATTGAGAAAGTCAATACTTTGGACTCACATAAAATATAGTTTTTGAGATTTAAATGCTTTGGAATTTTGGCCACATGACCTCTAATATGTGTAGTAAAAGTTCATGCTATTCGTGTTTATATCTTATTTTTAGTGAACTATTAGAGAAGAGTGAACAATGTTGGAAATTAGGTAGATTGCCTACACTTATGTACTTTTTTTAATGGTTGTGAATGCGACTGTGGTGAATGGTGAGAAAGTGAAGGAGATAGTGGGTTAGTGTGTGAGATTGGTGGTCTTGAACAATGGTGGTATATTTGGGCTTGGTAGTTGGGTGACCAACTTAATTGAGTTTTCTATTAATTGTTGTATTCTTCAACACTCGAAAAATAGATCCATGCCATAGTGAGAAACAAGTTTTATTGATTAAATTGGGGATTGTTTGTGGTCTCCAAAATAGAAGATTTTATGGCTACGTTATATATATACACATGTATAGTGTTCGATTTTATTTGGATTAACCGTATTGCTTTTGCTCATCACTAAGTGAACTCTTCCTCGGTAATAAAGCAAATTGAATGGAATACTATATTATGTTTTGATTGGGAGCATTATAAATTTAAATTGGGCAAATGGCATATTAATTTGGGACTTGGAACTTGGTTGAAGAAAGACATGAAAGAGGATGAAAGATGTGGCAAAGAAATGCAAAAAATGGGATGTGACACTCTACACGGTATTAGCCCCAATGGTATTAGAGAGGAGAAATGAATTTATACTTAACAAATCACGCTAATTCAGCATAATTAACCTTTTGAGAATTTGGGTGGGACACTCTACATAGTAGCCTCTAGTAAGAATGATAGTGGTTAGATTGATAGTGGTTGGGTGATGTGTTAGCATTTTTGTTGTTGCTGGTTATCTGTTGTTTGTGCTAGGAAAATGCTCTTTTGCTTTTGTACTTTTCTGTTATATCTGTTTTTGAATTTTATTTTGCTTATCACAAAAATAAAATGCTAGATTTTAATATTACTACTGATCTAAGTCTTTCATTTCGTACTTGAAGTCTAATCTATGTGACTACTCTATTTGTAACTGAAAAAAATAATAGAAAAAAGGGTTTATTGAATAAATTTGAAAATGTAAATTTTGAAATAAATATTATGTGATTCTACTTGAATGGCATGAATCAATTAATAAGCGAAGAGGAGTATTCATATAATGATAGTGTTATTATCTTTGTTATGCATATATCTTCTTGGAAATTGATAGTAGTTTTTTATTAATTTTGCATGTTTCAAGATCGTTTTTTTTTTTTCGTGTAAGACATATGATTAGTTTTTTAGTTAGAAATAGGGATTATTGTACGTTGATTGCATTTGAGATTAGTTTGAGAACCCAATTTGAAGAACAACATTTACCCCACCTCCGTACCTTGTATAGACTGCAATCAAAATTGGCACGACCCATATACATTTCCGTGAAGGAGTATATGGACATATTTTTGAAATTGGGTCCGTATGAGTACTGTCATTTTGAAAAATTTATTAAAGATAAGACAATTAGGGTGTCGAGTATGATTAATACTCCACTATTGGAACAACCTATTGGTAGGGCTGTTTGGATTCCTCCTCCTGTGGATTGGATTAAAATCAATTCAAATGCGTCATTCATCAAGATAGGTGGGATTGTTTATGCGGCAACGGGGGTGGTTTTCCGAGATCATTTGGGTACGATCAAAGCTATGCATGCTATGCCACTCAGAGGTGTATGCGACAGCTACGAAGTTGAGTTAAAAGCTGTCGAATGTAGCCTCATTCTAGCTCGACAATATGGGTTCGCAAAGATATTAATACAGTTGGATAACTCATTCATTGTTAAAGCTATTAAAGGCGGCGAATTACCAATGAAATATTACGATCTCTACTTATATGAATTATTGCTTTATTTATTTTTATTTAGAAGTTGTTCAAATGATATTTTTTCATTGCATTAATGCATTTTTTGTACCTACAGGACATTGCCTCTTAAAGAGTTCAAGAGATACATGTTCGATTACATCCCTAGAGAGGGAAATTAGGCTGCAAATTTTTTGGCTACAAGAGCCAGAGATTGGATGCTACAACCAACATCGAAGACTATTGTAGAAATTTGCCGTGCTTTTGACACAGTAAGAGATTGTTGCAAGGATGACTTGGCAGAGCAGACTTACTTTAGGCTTAAAGCGCAGAAAGCAAGTTTCAATAGTTTTACTTTTAATAAGTCTAATATTTGTTATTATGTTAATTTTTGCATGCCGTCGTTCTAGGTGATAGTTTGGGACAATTCAATAGTTTCACATTTAACGGTTTATTGGGTTCTTTGTGCGGGGACCCTTGCCGCACTTGTGGCATGGTTATCAGAATCCCGATCCCGATCCGGATCTTACGATCCTACGATCTTACGATCCATTTAAGTACAATCGATCCGGATCGTGTAAAAATCTCCTTATAGGTAGGATCTTTCGATCCTGGTAGTGGGATCTTATAGGATCGTGGAATCCCGATCCGAATCCGATCCTATCCGATCCAATTTACAAGCCTTGTTTTGTATTGTATGACATATTTTGTTGTAAATTTTATATTTGTTGTCTAAATATCAATTTATGTTGTCAAAATAAATAATAAAAATTAAGTAGTATTGAATCAAATAGACTAAGAAAAACAAACTAGGAAACAAACATTCAAATATTGCGGTAATTTAAGAAAATTAAATAGTCGGAAAAACAAACTTAGCTTTAGCGGAGTCTAACGAGGGTAAGATGATTGCAACTTTATCCCAATTTTTGGAGAGATTATTTTTGTGACTTGAATCCGCTCCACCAGGGATGCTAACGACAAATCTTATCATTCGGTTAAGCTATTCTTTTGAGTTCTTAATCTATTTTCATATCCAACTTTATTAAATATTTTTTCTTCGCTTTTTATGCATTATTGTAGATTATGAATTATTTTGTTATAGAATTCTTCTTCTTCTTCACCTTCTTTTTTGATAAAATACAAAACTTTTACCATCGAGTTTTCTATTGTATATTATTATATGTACATTTTACATGGAGTATTATATTTTTCACAATATTTTCACTTTTTTTTAATAAAATATAGGCTCATTTTGTGTATACTTTATAATAAATATTTATTTAAATTAAATTATTATGTAATTTGTCTTTTTCGCTAGGATCTTACGATCCTCGATCCGATTCTACGATCCGATCCTATAAACACCTCCAACAATCCAACGTAGGATCCCGATTTTAACAACCTTGACTTGCGGTGATTATTGGGGCACGTGCAGATTCATGCAATGCTGAATCTTGTGTTCCACTTCGAATTTCCTAGCTTCTGCAATATCTTCTCTTCTCATTTCTAAGGCTTGGGACTATGAAAACTTATTGTAAAACATTCAAAACTTGTAGAGAAACATGAAAACATTATTTATTTCAAAGTGACAAGATCAAAACATAGTTTTTCATCAAGAATTCTCATCACCCTAATATCTTTTAACTTCACCATAACTTAATCTTTCCCCAACTTTTACTAGTCGTGATGATCAAAACAAAGGATATAGTGAAGAACTTACTTCACTTCAAAGGTTCGGGTGCTAAGGTTCAAGATCTTCAAGCTCAAATTCTTGTTCATCCTTTTCTTTCTCTTTTCTTCTTCCTGTCACCTCTCTTCTTGCTTTCAAACTTCCAGCAATTTCTCTCTCCTCTAAGCTGAATTTTTGAATAAATAATTGAAAAAAGACACTTGTCTCTCAAGGGTGCAACCTAACCTAATCTTCTTAGTAGGAGGTGTAAGGAACCTAGGTGTGGTGTGTGTATGCTTCTCCTTAGTGGATGGTTCACCTTCTTGCATGCTTCACCAAATCTCTAATCCTCCCTCCTTAGCATAGCTAATCAAGCTTAGTGTTAATTAATCAAGGTTGGATCTTAATCACTCCAATTAGTTTAATTAATCTTGATTAGTACTAATTAATCCTACTTAGTTATCACTAATCTTAATTAACATTTCTCACTTAACATCAAATTGTCAATAACATTAGTCTAAGTTCTTTAAGCTCCTTGATTAGTGAATAGGACAACTCAAAACATAATCTAAACTTGAAGTCATTTACATTAGTTTAGGATCTTTAAGCTCCTTGATTAGTGATTAGGACAACTCAAAACATACTAAATCTAAACTACGGGATTTTTTTTTCAAAACATGCATGTTTAACTGATTTTAAAATTTCAGATTTTGTACAAGATGGATCTAATCCATATGTGCAAGAAAGCCGCTCTGCTAATAGCTCAACAAGTTTTCCTGGTATGATTACTGCCAATTAGATTTTTTTCTATTCATTAGGCAGTGATATGTTTCTGATGCCTCACCACTCTTGATCACAGGACCAGTTTCAGTTGGAATTATTCCTTTACAAGGAGGTAAAAGTTACTTTACCTTTTTATTTTTATGAAAACATGTGTGCTTAATTGATGTCAACCTTTCAGATTTTGAAAACGAGGGAACTAGTTCATGTGTGCAAGAATACAAAATTGACATTACCCACATAATGTGAGGGGAAGACAATCGCATAACAGTTATGATCCACAACATTCCCAAAAGGTATGTAAAATTTAACTAAATATATATACTAATTTTTGTGCACATGTGTTGCATGTGGCATGTTTTATGAAAGCTTCTTGTGATTATATATATATTAATGAAAAAGAGGACATCAGACGCCTGTTAACGTAGTGTACTTAACTAAAGAGCATGATGAAGATAAGAAGTCCCTACAATATAAGACTAATTAGCAATTTACCAATAAACCAACCAGCATCGTCCATGCTTCCTTTTGTTTGTCTTTTGGAGAATGTTGTAGCACTTGTTCTTAGTAGGTTATTCCTTGAAACCATGTCCTTATTTTTGCTTGCTTGGCCTTCTTTACTGGAGTCGTTAGATGCTATACATTTAATTGCGCTACTTTTTTGATTTGTTCTTACTATTTTGATTGTTGCTATCTTGGAGAAACAATGTAGCATGAGGCATGGCATACATTTATAGGAAATTGTCAATATCCAATATGACCCCAAGAGAAAAGTCTAGCTGGAACCTTGAGTGATTAGATAACTTAAAATGATCCCAAAATATAGAACAATGTCCCACAGCACCTAAACTATGTTAAAAAAACACCATTTATGCTCTAATTCCATACATTGTCCTTTTGTGACAAATTTCTCTCTCTCTAAAGTGCACACTTATTGTTGATAATTGGTTTGAACATAGAAATGCATAACCTCACAATTGCACACTTCTACTAAACAAACAATAAAAGAAGAAAATAATTTTATTATCTCTTTGTTGGTAATTCGTAATAGCGAAGAGACTATTTGATGTCTAATGAAAAAATATAGGCAACTTAAAATCTACTATGCTTATGAAAAAGAAAATGAAGATAGAATCTAGATGAGAAGAAATGCTCCAAATGCAAACCTCAAAGCACTGTTAGAGTGCAACCCAAATATCTAATGACCTTGATATTCTTATTCTTGTTTACTTAAATTTATTTTTTTACAAGAAAATCTGGGTAATTTACATATGACGATGATCATCATTGGATAATTGAAAATATAGCACAAAAACAGCCTATGCAAAGGTAAGCATTGTTACACTTCAGCTTGTAATGGTCACCTTTGTTGCACTCGGGCAGGGAGGTGAAATGTTCTTAAAATATATCACTTTGATTTGACTGATTGTGAGAGAGAGGGAGAGAGAGAAAAGAGAGAGAGAGGGGGAGAGAGAAAGGAAACAACATATTTAAACTGCCTAAAGATGTAGTTTTTTAACCCATATCATAAGTGTTGTTGGTCATATTTGTGCTTGCTGATATTGATTGAAATTATAGTTAGTCCTTGAATAGCAATTTACAATAACATAGCATGAGCGTAAATTTTCACGCTCGAGCGAGACTTTTTACCCACCAATAGGGAACGTGATCTGGGTTTAGACAGTCGTGAGACAGGTTAGTTTTACCCTATTGATGACAGTGTCGCAATAGTAATTCAACCTAGTACGAGAGGAATCGTTGATTCGCACAATTGGTCATCGCGCTTGGTTGAAAAACCAATGGCACGAAGCTACTGTGTGCTGGATTATGACTGAACACCTCTAAGTGAAAATCTGGGCTAGAAGCGATGCATGCGCTCGCCGTCCGCTTGCCGACCCACAGCAGGAGGCGTCTGGCCCTCAAAGGCACGTTTCGTTGGTAAAGCCCACACGGCGAATAAGTTGTGCAGGCCGCCTTAAAGTACAATTCCTATCTAAAGTGGCAGGTAGAATCCTTTGTATTGACTTAAATACACGACGAGGTATTGTAAGTAGCAGAGTGGCCTTGCTGCCACGATCTACTGAGATTCAACACTGTGTCGCTCCGATTGGTCCCTCCCCGCCCCTTTCGTGACCAATTTCCCCCGAGGATGGGAAACAAGTAATATAGCCCAAGTGTGCGACTTGACACACAAAAATGATTTACGTGCTTGCCGAAACGAAATTCCTAAGGCCTAAGTGGAATGCTAACACTTTACAATGAGTTGTGCGTCGACAACACGTGTTGAACGAAGTCTTTCATCTGCGCGACGGCCTGGGCTACGGCACTTGGCAAGGCCATGGCCTGGGTATTAAGCACGTGGCCTGCACCGTGGCCAAGGCCGCAGCAATTGTCAGTGTCGCAGCCCGGGCTACCACACACGCGACACACGACAAGGCCGCATTTTTGTTTACATGCGCGCAACAAGGCTATGGCACTTGGCAAGGTCGCGGCCTCAATTGCAAGTGCATGGCCTAGGTGGTGGCACTTGCCAAGGCCGCGACCTCACTTGCATGTGCCCGGCCTGGACTGCAAGCACACAGTTAGGGCTCCAGCAAAGGCTGCGTCACTTGCCAAGGCCGCGGCCTAGCTTGCATGCGTGTGGCCAAGGCTGGGGCACCTAGCAAGGCCACAGCATAGGTCGTGGCACAGGCCACAGCCAAGGCAGTAGCACTAGCCGCAACACAGGCCAAAGCCTAGGCCGTAGCATAGGCCGCAGCCAAGGCAGCCAAAGCAACAGCACAGGCCAAGGTAGTAGCACAGGCCGCAGCCAAGGCAGCCATAGTAACAGCATTGGCCGCAACCAAGGCAGTAGCACTGGCTGAAGCCAAGGTAGCAACCTAGGCTACAGCCAAGGCAGCCAAAGCAGCAGCATAAGCCACAGCCAAGGCAGCTAAAGCAGTGCCACTAGCTACAACCAAGGCTACTTTATCCACAACCGAAGCAGAGTATATTGCCACAGCGGAAGTTGGGAAAGAGATGTTGTGGTTAAAGCAGTTTCTCCAAGAGTTGGGATTAAAGCAAGAAAAGTTCACGGTACATTGTGATAGCCAGAGTGCCATACACCTGAGCAAGAATTCACTGTACCATTCTCGCACAAAGCACATTGATGTTGGATATCATTGGATATGAGAAGTGATAGAAAAGTAGTTATTAAAACTGATCAAGATCCATACAAATAAGAATCCAGCTGACATGCTTACAAAGGTGGTTTCGAGAGACAAACTCAAAATTTACAGAGACATTGCTGGGATGGACTTCAAGTGAGAAGTCAGTCATGCATGTAGGTATGGAGGGAGAGAATTGTTAGCTCCCACCCTCATGCATGAAAGCAGAGAGTCATGCAAAGATGGGGTACGGGGACTTCCACCTCAAGTGAAGGAGGTCTGAGCTGGGCATCTGCAAGACCAGCTCTCCATTCTCTTCACGTTTTTGCCTTTGTTGACTCTCACCATTAAGAAGGTAGAAATTTTGGTGGGTTTGCCTCTCTCTCTCTCTCTCTCTCTTTGTGTATAAATAGAGACGGAAGGGAGAGGGTGAATGGATCATCAGAAATTTAAGAGGTAGAGAGCTGTGAGTTGAGTGAGAGTCTTTCTCCTCCTTGTTTTTGTATTTGCTCTGTTTAGTGAAAATTCTCATTTCTGCTCCATGGACGTAGGCATTGGGTCGAATCACATAAATTTATGTGTCTCATTTGTATGTCTGATTGCTTCTTGTTATTTTCTAGGTGTCCATGATCCTAACAGTTATTGGGCAAACAAGTGGGGGAGTTTGATGGTGGTTGATGGTAATGTGGGGTGGGTTAGGAAGGGGGTCAACGGTGGTGATGGCGACAATGGAGATGGCAGGAGAGGATGGGGGAGGGTTAGGGATGGTGGATAGGGTATAATGTGGTAGCCGATGGTGAATGGCAAGCCATTGGAGTTATAGAGAAAAAAGAAAGGATGAAAGGGAAGGTAAAAGGTCATTTTTGTCTTTTTGACTAAAGATTTCATATCTTTGTAATTAGTTTTGGACATTTCATCAATATTGGAATTATTGGAAACATCCCAGTAATTTACCATTATTATTTGTCCTTTCCCGTTTTTTCCATTTTGCCCTTTGCTATATTAAATTTTCATTTTCCCCCCTAATATCTTATGAATTGGATGCTTGGATTTTTTTATGAATGTATATTTGTCTCTTTGACCAATTTTTAAGTTTGTCAGAGATAAATTTTCAAGTCATTGGTTATATAATAATTATATGGTATTGTTCTTTATTCTTATAATATATTTATATGTAATATGAAGAAAAAGAATTATATTTTTTAATCCATGTTATTGTATCTTTCGATACACAATACAATACGCTACACAATAATCACGATTCTACAACAATGCTTCCAAATCAAAAGCTTTTTTTAGTGTAACTTCTTTGAGTTGTCAAAACATGCTTATTAGTACAAGCTACATTTTTTTAGGGTAAATTATAAATACACCTCATGAGACTTGCTTAAAATACGAATTATCCCCTGTGGTTCAAGTTTCTAATTGTATAACAAATGAACCTTTTTATTAATAAATTATCAAGTTAATTAACAATTTTTAATGCTGTCAAAAAATATTTCAATCAATAATTAAGATAATTCAATTGTTGTATAGGAGGGTAGTTAAGAATTTCATTTTTCTATTAATTATGCTAAATAAAAAATTCTAACAATAAGGTATTTGTAATTTCCAAAACCATAGGGGGCAATCTATATTTTAAGCAAACCTCATGGGTGTATTTATAACTTACCCTTTTTTATATTTATCTTCTTTTAAGAAAGATTTTACTCACAGTTAGCTAGTCGTGTTAGTAATATGCTTTATTCTTCATGTTAAAAGGCTCAATAAATGTTAGTGTATTTCTAATCATTTATATCAATTCATATTTCAATATCCACTTGATTTTCTATATATATATCACTATAATAAAAATCATTTTTCACAACGTATAAAATTGTTGCTAAAAGTCAAAATTTCATCGCTAAATGTCTTTTGCGACAATTATAAAATCACCACCAAGTTGTGGCCATTGCGCTTGAAAACCATGCCTATAAAAGCCAGGTAAAACTTACAAACAAGCCAAAAATTTGAATTGAGACAACAGAGTTATTTCAAAAAGATAACTATGACAATCAAGGAAAAAATTAAATCAAATATAAAGGCAACAAACTTGCATGCAGACATTACAAACAAAAGTCTTCAACCTAGCTTGAGCCAATCTGTCATAATTTGTGGTTACTGTTGCAAATATGAAATGAAATTTCAGTATCAGGGCCGAATAGTTTTCTCTCTCCACTGTGAATGCCCTCACATTCATTGGGGCAAACCACCAGCTTGTCAAAGGGCAAGTTTATTTTTTTCTTCTCCTTTGCACAAATTCTCTTAACAAGGTTATAGTGATGGATTAATCCACTAAGAAAACCCGTTCCTAGTAAATAATAAAATAAGTATAGGGTTTTTTTTCCTTTTTTTTTTTATCTCTCCATATGGATATTGACATAGTCGAGGCTATAACCATAGAACTCTTTCACTTGGGTTCTTTATTTGGGTTTAACTGCCAAGAGGCTACTAAAAACTGAAAGGAAATCCTACTTATTACTCATCTTCAAAAGGAAATCAGGAAATTCAGTATTTAATTTTTTCTCTATCTGCATGGGGTTCAAATAATTAAGTTTTTGTGTATTTATGGAAGATTTCAATATATCTACATTCACCTAAACAATTGAAGATTTCAAGTTTTTGTATATATCAATGTTAATGTAAAAGTTTTGAAAAACTAACCATGAACCAAGTTTAGCCTCTACAAATGGTTGAACAAAAAAACTACTATTTTCTATCCTACAAGTTAGAAGCATGAATACTACCCAGCGATCCAAGACATCTATACCATGATGATATATATGCATGCTCTTTCAATTTAATGGTCCGAACCAATTAGGCCAAAATGATTTAGTTTTCTTTTAGCTATTGTTAAAACCTATTAATACACTTCTTTTGACCTAGATACTTATATTCAATTATCAGTGTTTGTATGAAAACATAACACTTGTTTTTGAGTTCAATAATATCGTTGATTATGAGATTGAATGCAACTAATATTTCTCGAGAAGGTTGTTGTGGAAAACAAGACAACGACAAGAAGTTTCCCATGATAACAAATCTACTATCAGAACTTTTCCCTAATAAAATTACTATCGACATGCTAAAGGTGCCTAGTATATTTTTAGGTTGTTATCTGTTCACCATGTATTTTTTCAAAGTATCTAACGATAGGCATGCAAAATGATGCAGGACGAGACGCATATGGCTGTCCTAAAGCGTCAATTCCCTAAAGACTCTGAATTCCTAAGAGTAGAGGAAAAATTTATTTGCCTTTGCGATGTAAGAAACTACAAGATGTTATAGTTTGTAATATTTTGTCTTTATGATACTAGCATATGTGTAACATATCTCACAAATAAAATGTGGCATTTTGGTCCATTTTTTCTTGAAGTTATATCTTGTTTTCTACTTTAGTACTAATTAAATTTCATTTTTGTCAATTTTATTGATGATCAGTTGTAGTCATGTGACAAGAGTTATTACTTGTCTTTTATGAATTTGTTTCTTTGGCTCATGATTTGCAACTAAAGATAATTCTTTAATACTTGTTTGGATATGAGTGCTAGCAAACATACTTGTTTTGTGGTTTATTGTCATGGTCGAAATAAGTCTTTTTGGCCCAAATCTCTAGTCCAATCTCAAATCCTACAGTTTGTGTGTAAACACTTTGTTTCTTTCATCCGAATTAGATGCATGAGAGCAATTCAATTTCTTGTAGAAAATAGAATAGGGGATTCATTTTTTGACTAGTGAGTTTATTTGGATTTTGGTATTCTTTGTATTGGATTTTTTAAAAATATGGTTCAACGGCACAACAATTTGATATTAGAAGTTTTATTTACAATTTTATAATGTGATGTCTTTAGTATTTTATTTACATTTTAAATGATAGTTTAATTAGGAGTCTTATTAGTATTTGGTTTCCTATTTTGTGGTATGCATTGAATTGTGATACAAATACCAAATCATACCTCGTAGAAACATCTCTCATGATTCAAGTCACCAACAATATGACTAAAGATCAAATCACTCAGGTCCGATTGGAATTTTTTTGTTCTTATTTTTATATTTGCAATGAAATGTCATTTATCTTTTGTTTTATGAAATTTAAATTATCCCTAATATATTATGAGTTAGATGCTTGGATATTTTTATGAATAATTTGTCTCTTTGGCCGATTTGTAATTTTGTTAGAGATAAATTTTTATGTCATTGGTTCTATATATGAAAAAAAAAAAATTAAAAATCCATATTCATATATGTTAATGGTATGATACACTACACAATACATGAAAGTAATACAATCATACACAATACATCGACAAAAATGCTTTCAAATTAGAAGCTTGTTTTAGTGCAACTTTTGAAGACATGTTTGCATTGTTGAGATGACAAAACATGCTTATTAATATTTTATTTTTGTTTTCTTTTAAAAAGAATGTTTATTTCACTTTTCACCCTTATAATTTAACTCAAATTTCACGTTGGTCTTTATTGTTTCAATTTAAATAATTTGGTCCTACATTTTATGTTCAGTTTCAAAAATCATAAATTGACAGGTATCCCAAAATCATAAATTTTAGCCTCCAATTCGAATGAAAGGACCAAATTGAAGCTGAAATTAAAGTGTAAGGACTAAATTGTTCAATTTGAAATAAGAGGGACCAAAATGAATTTTGATTTAAACTATATGGGTGAAAAGTGTAATCAACGCTAAAAGACTTTCTCACAAACAACTAGTTAAAATCAAATTTTGATGTTAGTGATATGCTTTATTTTTCATGTCAAAAGCCTCAATAAATGTTAGTGCACTTCTAATCATCTGTATCAATTCATATTTCAATATCTACTTGATTTTCTAAATAAAATTTTGTTAATAAGAACATAAATTATAGGGGGCTTTTATTGGCCAAGTTGGTTTTGCTACCTTAAATTTTCTTTGCTTACTTGTGTCACTAACACTTAGGCATTGGCTAGTAAATTTATTATCTATTTCTTATCAAGACCACTCCAACCCAAAGTTGTTACTCTTTTCCACTTTAGTTAGGAACATACCAGTGTGACCAAAAAATTATGTCTTATCTTTTTTCCATCTTGTCTTTCATTGTTTGGGGTTCCTTATTGTTTGAGGTTGTATTATTTGCTTGAGGTGTACATTTCCATGCTTAGAAAAAACTTTGATTTTGTTTTGTAATATAAATCAAGAGTAAGGTTATTAATGACAAATCACACAAAAAGGCTATTTCGGGCAAAAGAAATAATTGGTAAGGTTAGAATAGATGTTGTTTATATATAGAGTGTCTTTTGTTGTTATTAGTAAGGATATTATTGTCGTTATGTTATTTAATCAATATAAATATGGACTGAGGTGGAGGGTATGAAGCACAACCCTAATCCCTATTCGTATAATTTTTGTTTACTCTCCGTCTTCTCTATTCTTTTTCTCTCTATCCCTAACCTTAATCTCACATATTATATAATTCAACTGGTAAGACAATCAAACCCACCCTATCTTTTGTATGATCTCACTTTCCATTTTTTTATTTGCTTCTCCCCAAATTCTTGAGCCTCAGTCCTAGTGAAGATCTAGGGATTCAACTTCAATTTGATTACAAATGAAACAAGGAAGGAGGTTTTTGGTTGGGTAGCAAAGCATTGACATTTGAAATTCGATATGACTTATTAGAACAATCTTTTATATACAATAAATAAATTGAAACAAAATCAAACAAATAAAATAAAGAACGTACCGAATTTATTTTTACCGAACCGAATGAATATTTAAAGACCAAGTCGAGTATATGACACTCTGTCCTTAAGACAGATTCGCCCTGCTATGGTGCTTACGGTTATGTGGCGTCTATCTCCCAATATACAATGATCTTCACAAATTTGTAGTAGCATTCCAAACAAATTTGTCCGGTGAACTAGAACCTAGTGTTCTATAACTCTCTGAAATTTTTCCTAAAATAATATGAACAATAAAGGATGCAAAAATGATAGCAAGGAAAATGAATTTTTGGAATGAGAGGTTGCTGGAAAGTGGCCTGCTATTTATAGACCTAAACAGGTTCAATTATTCAAACTGAACAGGTGGAATTTGAATCCAGCAGGTGCAACATTTAAATTGAACAGATACAACACAATTTCAACAGATAACTACTGGGCAGTTAAATCTGTTGAAACTGCAGCAGTTTAAAAACCTGTCTAGAACATTTTGAATCTGTCTGGTAGTTTGAAATTGTCCGAAAAATTGAATTTGATGAACCTTAGTTTGAATCTATTCAATCTGCCTAACAGATATACAACTGCTTTGAACAGATGCAGTTCAAAAAAATGGACAGATCTACAGAACTACTGGACAGATTTGAATCTGTCTGGGCAGTTTTCTAACTGTTCAATAGATGGGAAATTTAGTGGAATTCGGATCTGAAAAGAGGCACAAAAATTGGACAAAAATTTGAGTTTCAAATTCAAATTTGGAATTAAATTCCTGCAATAATTTTTGAAAAAATTCAAAAGAATTTTGTCTAAAAAATTAATATTAGAACCGACCCGACCCACAACCGTGCCCGGCACAGCTCGGCTCGACCAAACGAAGGGACAGTAGCGGCGCGCGCGCGCGTGTGTGGTGCTTTGGGCTAAGGTTTTATTTGTCCATAACTCCTCCCTTCTACAAACTTGGGATGCCCCTTGGGGCTCAACCCAAGTATTGTACTGTAGAGATTATATACTTACAAAAGCTCTCTTAAAGTTTCAATATGGGACAACCAAGAAACCTACATTTACTTCTTTAAATTTCCCATTCCATGATCCCAAAAACGACATCAACTTTCCATTCACTCATAAATGGTTTTGACGAACCGTCTTTACCATGTGACTTGCCATGCGGCAAGGAACACGTCACCTTTTCGGACCCACTCCAAAAGACGTTTGGGCCCTCTCAATCTTGGGCTCAAAGTAAGCCCAAAATAAGCCTTTATAAAACCAATTTTCCAACAATCCCTCACATGAATGAAATTTGACGGAGAGAAAAAGCAACAACATGATCTAATTACAAAGAGTACAGAAATTAGAAATATTCTGCAAAGGATAGGTAGCTTTTGGCTTTGAACCTTCCCTTGTGAGACACTATCGGATTCACTAGCTAACCAGTGAACATGATGTCTTGAACTGTTCAGCTATTTGTGTAAACCAAGACAATAGAACTCACACAGTATTATCCCCAGACACAGTTTAGTTCTCACTATTGTGTTCATTTTGGCTCTGAATAACCTGGTCTTTCACGAGTGCTCTAGAGAATTGTAGCCCTTCACAAATCTCATAGAACCGGCCCAGTTCACACTCACATAGGTGATTCTTATGAAAAGTATCCTGCCATACTCCACTAGGTTTATCTAGATATAAGAATCATTAAAACTTTACTTAACCTTAAACACTGCAGACATCACTATTTCATCATAGAAATGGGTAGGAGTTTGACTCCTAGATGATCCTTATGAGTCATTCACAACTCAGTTGTCTCTTTGAACCTAGATCTTGGGATCTCCAGTAAACTAGGTTGGGTTGCCGTTATGGTAACCCTTATTTAATAGGCTTTAGTCCCATTCCCCTCAATGAATTCTCAACTAGCTCTCTTGCTAACCCTTTGTTAGTGGATCCGCTATGTTGTCTTTAGACTTCACATATTCAATGGAAATAATTCCATTAGAGAGTAATTGTCTTACAGTATTATGTCGACGACGAATGTGTCGTGACTTACCGTTATACATATGACTCTATGGTTTACCTATTGCTGATTGACTATCACAATGTATACATATAGCAGGCACCAGTTTTGGCCATATTGGAATATCTTCAAAGAAGTGGCGAAACCATTCTGCTTCTTCCCCTACTTTGTCTAAAGCTATGAATTTTGATTCCATAGTAGACCTAGCAATACAAGTCTGTTTGGAAGATTTCCAAGATACAGCCGCCCCACCAAGAGTAAAGACATACCCTCTCATTAGTTCAGTATTATGGGTATCAGGCCTGCGGGCATCAGCCAGTATTTGAGAATTAGTTATCTGCGGATATCAGATTCTGTTTTAGGGGACAGTGATACAGGGATAATAATCAGTGTTTGAGGACAGTGTATACTTCAG